AGAAGATGCAAGAGAGGCTCAGAAGCAGTTTCATAGACAGAGCAGCAAAGCAAAGCGGAAAGGGAGGGGGAGAAACATCCGATCTCGGCAAGAGCAAGTACATCTCCTCCTACATGTCTCTGTGTGAGTGCAGCTACAGCGTGCGCTCTCAGGACATTATTACCTGCAGTGTTCCCTCAGTGAGGACTGAACTAGGCAAAAGGACCGTCTCCTACTCTGCTCCTGTTTCCTGGCATATCTTGTAAAAAGATCTGAAGCTCTCGACCTTGACATCTCTAAGTGGCTTCAAACATCTGTTAAGTTCCTGGAAAAAAATGGGGGGTACTCTGGGAGTATGGGGTACCGGGCCCTTTGATACGGGCTGTTAGGTCCCTGTATAACCGGTGTCAGCGCCTGGTCCGCATTGCCGGCAGTAAGTCGGGCTCATTCCCAGTGAGAGTTGGACTCCGCCAATGTTGCCCTTTGTCACCAATTCTGTTCATTCTTTTATGGACAGAATTTTTAGGCGCAGCCAAGGTGTTGAGGAGATTCGTTTTGGTGGCCTTAGGATTGCGTCTCTGCTTTTTGCAGATGATGTAGTCCTGTTGGCTTCATCAGATCGTGATCTACAGCTTTCGCTGGAGCAGTTTGCAGCCGAGTGCGACACAGCTGGGATGAAGATCAGTTCCTCCAAATCCGAGGCCATGGTCCTGAGCTGGAAAAGGGTAGAGTGCCTTCTCTGGGTCAGGGAGGAGGTCCTGCCCCAAGTGGAGGAGTTCAAGTATTTTGGGGTCTTGTTCACGAATGAGGGAAAAATGGAGTGTGAGATCGATAGGCAGATAGGTGCAGCATCTGCAGTGAAGCGGGCACTGTACAGGTCTGTTGTGGTGAAGAGAGAGCTGAGTCAAAAGGCGAAGCTCTCAATTTACCGATCGATCTACGTTCCTACCCTCATCTATGGTCATGAGCTTTGGGTTGTGACCGAATGAATGAGATGTCGGATACAAGCGGCCGAAAGGAGTTTTCTCCGCAGGGTGTCTGGGCTCTCCCTTAGAGACAGGGTGAGAAGCTCAATCATCCGGGAGGAACTCAAAGTAGAGCCGCTGCTTCTCCACGTCGAGAGGAGCCAGTTGAGGTGGCTCGGGCATCTGATTAGGATGCCTTCTGGACGCCTCCCTGGTGAGGTGTTCTGGACACGTCCCACTGGGAGGAGGCCCAGAGGAAGACCCAGGACACGCTGGAGGGACTATGTTTCTCGGCTGGCCTGGGAACGCCTCGGGATTCCCCC